GTGATCTCCCCTGGACTCCTTCCAGCAGCTCCACATCCTCCTGCTCCTGTTCCCCAGTGCTGGGACATCATTTTGGCTTTTCAATTTGGCATCCAAAGCCTTCACAAAGAACAACTGATCCCCGTTTGGGGAATCTCCCAGGGATGGGATGGGATGGGATGGGATGGGATGGGATGGGATGGGATGGGATGGGATGGGATGGGATGGGATGGGATGGGATGGGATGGGGAGGGGTCCCTTTGGCTGCTGACGTGCGTGTGACGTGTGAAGTGGGTTTTACGCAGGTTTTTCCCCGCCGATCCCCCCCCGTTATCTGCAAATCCCATTAGCGAGGCGGGATGCAAACAGGGCAAGGTGACCCCTCGAGAGATACGGGGCCGCGCACGGGATTGCKGCTCCCGACGAGCCCCCGGTATCGCCGCAGCGATAGCGGCTCCCGGGCCCGCCCCGCTGCCGGGGGGAGCAGGGCAGAGCCCGGGGGGCTGGGGCGAAGGGCGCGGGGGATGTGGGACGTGGAGMCGGCACCCGCCGGGGTTTTTTTGATTTAACAGCGCATCCCAGCCACTCCACCCCTTCCCGATCCCAAAATCTGCGGGGCAGCTCCAGCAAACTGGGTTTCCCTGTGGAAAGTGTGGAAAAGACTACAGATTTTTATTATTATTATTATTATTATTATTATTATTATTATTATTATTATTCTTTATTGTTGAATTTCCTGCAGGAATTGCCACTGCTGTGAGGATGCTGTGGGCAGAGCCCCTCACTCCATCCATTGGGATGTCCCCTCTGCTGTGGGACACAGAGTGTTTCCACCATGGGGGTGGCCCTTGCAGTGCAATAAATCAGGAATTTATAATGATTTATGATAATTTTAATGATTTTCTGGCTAAAATTGTCCGGTGGTTCATGGAGGAGTGGGTAGGGCTGGGCCGTGGCGGCCAAAAAGGCAGCGAGGTTCATCCCAGTCTGGCATCGGGCAGGAGTTCAGGATGGATTCGAAACGAGGAAAGGCATTGGGATGACTTATAGGAACCACCTTTGTAATAAAAATTCACTCCAAGCCAAAAAAAGGGGGTATAAATAATAAATATAAATTATTAAGAGCATAAATAATAAATAAATAAGAGTAATAATGAGTATTTAATGTACAAGGGCTRCTGTGAATAACAATAACAATACAATTATATATTCTGTGTTTTTATATGACATAAATAAATAAAGCTTCTGAAGTCCAGTGAATTACTAATTAGAGTAGAACAGAATAGAGAATTGATTATAAGACTCAATAATTAAATTAAATAGAATAATTTAAATGGAATAATCAATTAAAGTAGATAATAATTAAAATAGAATTACAGAAGAAAAKAATTTGAATAAAACAGAATGGAATAGAGAATTAGGATATAAAATTATTAGAATAGAACAGAACAGAATAATAGAATGATAAGAGAATTATAGACTAGAATAAAATACCATTAGAAAGAGAATAATTAGAATGGAATAATTATAATAGAATATAATTAGAATAGAATAGAAATAGAGAATAGAGGAATGGGATGGAATGGGATGGAATGGGATGGAATGGGATGGAATGGGATGGAATGGGATGGAATGGGATGGAATAGAATAGAATAGAATAGAATAGAATAGAATAGAATAGAATAGAATAGAATAGAATAGAATAGAATAATAGAATAATAAAATAACAGGAGATTCCCCTGCTCATCGGGAGCCATCCATGTAATTATTGGTGTGGAATATTCAGACCTTGGCGCATCACCAGGATGTGGCACTGGATTTGTGACACCTTGGCCATGTCCTGATCCCATCCCAAC